AAATGCCTTAGATTTGCAGAATTTGTGGCTGGCAGGCTACCTGCAGGGAAGATCATTCTAAAGTGAGTGTGCACAAGGCTCAAAGAGAGAAAAACAAAGGCTGTACAGAAGAATCAAGGTGAAGTTCCTCTGTGCTGAACTCTGCCACTGGAACTCAGGCAAACCTTAAAGAAACCTGCCAGTGAGGGCCTCACAGTTCCTAGGGTCACCACTTGAAATCTGAGCACGCTGGGGCAAAGGTCCATTCGAAAGAAATCTAAGCAATGCTTTGAAAAATTGATTTGGAATCTATCCTTTGCGTGAGGCACCAGGAAGAGAACATTCACCAAATGCATTTGCATTGTCAAGTGATGACTCAGAGTGCAATAAAACACCCACTAGCTGAGGACTATGCAGGGTTTCAGTTCTCAGATTTCATACTGTTGGAGAAGGCAGGTGCAGTTCAGGTGAAGGATAGGCCCTGGAACAAAAGGTTCAAGGAACTGGGAAAGATCTGAGCTTGGGATACTGTTATCTCTTGACTTTGGGGGAACTAAGAACAATGATGCCAGTGAAAGTAATGAAAAAGAACTCAGTGTGATAGCTCTTGATTTCCCTAATGGCTGTGGCCCATACCAGAACAGAGGGAAGTACCTATTAGGAAAGTCCTTGTCTGAAAGGAAGGGAGAAAAATGCATCATTCAGCTTCCTTCACCAGCAAATTTAAGACAAGCTTTACCAGCTTCCAGTTTGCTGCTGCTGTTTGCAACTGGTACATTTACCTGGGGAAAGAACTTTACCAGCTTTACTCAGCAGAAAGGAGCTGATCCAAGTTGGGAGAGGATCTGGAAAAGCATAAGGGGGGCTGTTTTCCAATGTATTTGTGAGGTTCTCAGAGTTTATTAGAACAGAACTAGCCTTCAGGACTGGAAAAAAAAAGATGCTTAAAAAGCATTGTGGATGAGCCTGCTTTTCACTTGACAGTACAGCTGTACGGATTCTAATAGGCTAGTCAACTACAATGTCTGTCCATAGAAATCTTTGTCTTGGGTAACTCTATGACTTGAATGAGTGGTCACTTCCTGCT